GCACATTCAACTATGTAATGAACAAGGTATTTAATAAGAATATTTCATTCATTCAGATCTAGGATGTCTTATTTTTGTGTTCCCTTTATTTTTTTGAGCAGTGTATATACATTAGGTACTGTATAGTAGCTAAAACTAATTCAGTGTTAATACAACAGTCCTGCAGTAAATCCTCCTTCATGAAGGCAATAATGTTCAGTTTTTGTTCAATATCAGCAAAGTGTTGATTCAACAGTAGGATCATTCTGGAGGCTGCACCACACAGAAAGGTGTCTGTTATTTAGCCCAGCCTCATATAAATAGTTAACCTCATTCTTTACCTGATGGACAAAGGTCAAAACTTGTCAGTGTTTCATGAACACACCAATAACACACCAATTTTTTTTTATTTGAATTACAGGAGCCAGTTTGGATATCAAGGTTACCATGAGAGTCATGAAAACTAGAATGAAGGTGTTGTTTTTTTTCCAGGAAGTACCATAAAACAAATAAAAAAACAAACACACATACAGTTCAACCTTTAATCAGTGGCAGAAAGGATTAACAGGAGTCACGCTACAGAGAAGTAATACAGAGGGCAGGAATAGAAAACTCTCTGGAGACAAGTACACCACATTTTCTTTACAGTGGATATGTACATAATGTTTCTTAAGCAAAACAAAGCTCTGTAGAGAAAGCATATACCAGTGAAACATAATCTGTCCTTGATAATTCTCAAAAGTTAATGTCTGTATACGTTTTATACAAAATAGATTTTCAAACAATATTTGGGTAGTGCAAATCTTTTTAGATTCAAGCTGGTTGATTACTTTCACAAACAGTTTGTGTGTGTGAAAAAGACCGACTCTTATCCTATTCACAGTATTACACAATTTAACCCAAAAAAGTGTCTTCTAGGAGCTACTTTGTTTACACAGATATTATGTTAAATTTGTCTGTATGTACTTTGGTCACCTTATAGTTAAACACCAAATAGGTTGTTTTTTTTTGTTTTTGTTTTTGTTTTTTTTTTTTTTAGTACAGTCTGGATAGACTGATGATTAAGTATATCTTTTCCTGAAAATCTGGCCTGCAGAAAATATTGAATGTGAATCTCCTGGAAGCAAATAGCTTATATACTGTAGGGGAGAGAGGAAAAAAAAAAAAAGGAAGCGATCACATCTTATGTGATGGTGAGAGATTATCTGTCGTTTCTGTTGCATATTCAGTTGTCCTCCTCAAAAACGTACAAAGTAAGGATACGTTTTTGAGCAAGAAGAGGCAAGTGTGTGATTTTATACACCCTTTATATATATAGATATATATCTGTTAAAATGAAAAGCAGCAGCAGCAGGAGATCTGGATACACTGAATGTGAAAGTAACCCATGAATGACCCCTGTGCATTTAAAAAATAAGGTTTTCTACCAGTCTGAATTAACCTCAGAAAGAATATAGAGCATCTTTTCTCTAAGTTTAGGTAATGACAACAGTGGCAACACTTTCCTGAACCTTTTGTAATAAGTGATTTTTCTCCTGACCAAAAAAAAACCAAAAACAAAAAAAACCCCCAAATCTCAGAAGCCAAACTTAATGTGTTCGGCTCTTAAAGTGAGGAAAAAAAAAATGACCGAACGTGCACAACCACACTGTGGAATCAGACAACCTTCAGCGAACCTGAACATGGCAGCGGTTCAAGATGTATGAGCGCTTTTATATTTGTTGTTGGAGAACAATCTGACATTTTTTCAGCTTTAAATGCACCAGTGAGCAACACTCTAGTCAACTCACTTTATATATTTATCCAATCATTTTTTTACAGGTCACTGTCTTTGATCTGTCAACATTTCTTTTAAACTAAATGAATTCTCTCAACATCTGTGTTAAACCTTGTATTATTATGTGCGTCAAACACAACATGTCAGAGTTGTGAAACACTCCAATGACTATCTAAACAGACAAGCTCAACTGATGAAAATGTTGCAGCACATTTCAATTTTTGACTTGCACCACATGCAGAAACAGGGATACTAACAAACTTATTGTGTGTGATTACACAACACATCCATGAGTGCCTTGTGCTGTACATGAAGCACGCCTATGATTCATTAATAATCCAGTGGACTGGAGCTCAGATTATTTCTCTATTACACAAATGTGTAAGCTTCAACGCTGCGAATTGTTTCTTGCTCTATTGAAAACACTGAACAACTTTCGGCATCACTGAAAGCTGACAAAGCAGGAGTTTGGCACTGAAACAGGTCCCAGAGAACACAGGGATCCATTTTGCCTGCCGCCCCAGTCAGCGATGCCACACTTTCACTGTGACGTCTCCATCAGGTGACTAAGTGCTTTTCAACACTGGGGCTCCACTACCTATCAAATCAACATGCAGTACTGAAGTACTAAGGACACACAGACATTAAGACAAGGTGCCTACACAATGTTAAAGGAGCAGGGGTCCGAGGTTATCAGCGACTATGGAAGATTTACAGCAAAATGAATCTGCCGACGCCTGATCCAAAGTGCTCTATACACAGACAACTATCATACAAATGATTTATTTTTAAAGGAACAGTTCCACATTTTGGGAAATGCACTTTCTTGCAGAGAATTTGATGAGAAGATACCACTGTTACGTCTGTATGGTGAAGATAGAGTCAGCAGGTATCTTAGCTTAGCATAAAGACCGAAAACAGGAAAATGACATTAAGCATATTTCCAAACATGCTATAGTTAGGGACATGTCCCGATTCAGTTTCTTTGGCCCCAATACCAGTCTGATAGTTATATGAGTAAATGGTCATTAAATATCTGATGTATTGAAATGAATCTGGCAAATACTGATCCAAATACTGGCTCAGGCCCTGGTTCCAAAATATTAAGTTTATTAGCTTAAATTATTGATTATTATCTCATTGTTTTGGTGGATTCTGTGTCAGCCTTCAGGCCGTGGCTTCATGTGAGTGAAATGCCAGCCGGCATGCTGGCAGCGTACACTGGACTGATTAATATAGCATCTGCTTGATATGCGCGTCTCAAAAATGTGACTGCATTTGTTCAAATACAGGACTGTAGTTCTAAAATAAGGATCGGAAATGGATAGGCTTTATTCTGGCCAATACAGTTTCTGTGAAATATGCCTGTATCGGTGCTGATACTGATACCTAGTATCAGATCAGGATATCTCAGTTATGGTATTTAACAAATATAGCATTAACACATGTGTGTTCAATGACCTGATGTAGATGCTTATTCAGAGTTCTGATCTACTGTTGAAAAAGGATCAGTGGCAGAATCATGACCGCATCTTTGTCATCTGTACAATACAGACCGTGAAATAAAATAAAAAACTTAATAAATGAAGCACTTATTTTACAACCTCATGGAAGAACCATGGAAATTAGTTTTCCTGATGAATTAAAAATGACAATCTTGCAAACATAAAACATGCCCGTGCACTTCTGATTGGTAGACGCATGTATCTGTCATGTTCCATTATTTGACTACTGGGGAAGGAGGTGGGGCTACTATAAAAACCAAAGAGGGGAATTTAAAAAAGTGATCTCATTTTGTCTGATAATAGTCATAAAGAAACGACTGGTACAATGTAACAGTCTTTTAAAGCCATTAGCAGGATATAAGTGCTCAACTCTCACTTTGGGGGTCGAGTAAGTGCAGGAGGGCGACAGGAAGCAAGCTTTGAATATTTTCTCTTAACAAGCGGATCGTTTCTACACACAAAGGATGGGCCGAGCTGCTCCTTCTAAAGACAAACACAGCCACTGGGAGGAAAAAAAAGGAATGCTTGCAACATGTAATATAAAAAGTACAGTCAGCGTACAATGAAGGTAGACCATGACGCACACCTTGGACAGAACGTGGCTCAAGCAAAAAGGCACATATCTCTTCCCTTTTTATAACAGACGTGTGTAAACCTGGAAGAAGCCAGCTTGTGGGAGAAATCATCCTTTGAATGTCATTAACAATCCAACAATGTTTCTTGACTAAATCAATAAAATATGCTTTATAACTGAGCGAAAGTCAGACTTTCTCCATATGATAGACATTTTGTTACAACCTCCTATAAAAACTAAAAGAGGAACGGTCTAAAAGCCTACTTAAGAGCGTGTTATTAGTTAAGCTTTGTTACGTTCCCCAATAAAAACAAGAACCACAGCAACCTGGAAAACTGTATAAATGGTTAGATTTTGAAAATGTAGAAAATACTATGATAAGCTGTACATATGTTTTTGTTTCATCTATTTTAGATATCGCTCTGTATTTGAAGGGTAAGGAACCTGAGACCGCATGGATAGCCTATTATCTTATTTCTCTGTGATTATCTTTTATCTTACAAACATTTCCTACCTGTTGTTACACACTACATCTTAAGAGTGCTCAACAAAACAAAGCCTCTGTGCTCACTGTCTGCTTTATACACAAACAAGTCTCTCTGTTTTCTCCTTCCAGACCCAACTCGCTCCCAAAAAAACATCACTCACTCCTCGTCTCAGATCCTCAGTGCTTTCACTGCTGCTCTTTGGGGGGTTGGGGTGAGATGTGGTGGGATTTTAAGGCATTGTGTCTGTTATGGGGCACAGTCATCTCTGATGGAAGAGGAGAGGTTTGACACTTCCAGTCTTGAATTTTGGCAACTGGTTGCTGATGATCTCTACCAGCATCTCCGGGAACTCCACACTAAGGGATTTATTCACAAAGGTGTAGAAGCAGAAGTTGAGCAGTCCACCGCCCATCTGCAGACACACAGGGTCATACATTTCAACCATCATGGCAAACCTTTAATAAAGTCCATCACACATACAATGATAACACCAAACTATGCTAACATGTTTGAAACGGTTGAGGTTGACATCGAAGTGGATGCTAATACAACACGGATAGCTGCGGTTGTTGCATCAGCTAACAGAGCCGAGTCTGAATGTAGTGTGAGATTTAAAGCTCTTGCAACGTTAAAATGAGTTACCCTGTACAAGTTAAACTCTAGATACAACTCAAAAATGTTCACCTCCACTTCTGAGTTATCATTATAATCTAGTTTGTTGAAACTTATAATATACTCTAAATGCTCCTGTACTATGCAACTCAAATGGTTTCTTTAAACTATAAACTAACGTATTAATCATATAAATCACAAACATGAAACAGGCTGTAGTTGAGTCTTGCTTGGCAGCTGACTGCTGCCGCTATACCTCATGCATCGAGTCGAGCAGCTTGGTGAGCTGATAGAACCGCTGCCAGTTCTGGCTGGAGTTCTCCTCGCGCTTCACTATGGCTTTCCCCAGCTCCTTGATGTACGACATCCGAATCTCGTCGAACACCGCCTGGCTCTTCAGGCCGTCCTTTGGCACTGCAGGAGAGGAGAGACTCAAAGTCAACATCTGGGACAGAGATAAGTATATTTTTAATGTGCCATAGCACCTCCAGCTTGAAGTGCAAAGCATGAAGGACACATTTGACATTTTAAATCAGTGTAAATGTCCATACTGTGAAGGACAAAAACTAATGAATATCAGGTATTATTAGCTCCACAAAGCACTTCAAAAAATTTCCTGCACAGCCTGAAGAGGGCTGTCAGGTGTGTCTGGCTACATGCGATTATGGCTTTAAATGTATTTCATAAGGTTGATTATAACAACAAGTCCTTGTCTACACCCAAATTCTTCAGCACTACATTACTAGATTGGTTGTGTACTTCTATGGTCTGTGCTCTGTTTTGTAAAATTGGGTATATGTATTTTTTTTGTACTTAACCAGGCAGGCCTGTGAATATTTAATTTGTATTTATGATTAACTGCATGTTGATTAATGAGTTGACAAAAGTGCTGTGATGCTTTGACCTGTGCATACATCAGTGTTATCCTTTAGCATCCTGGACAGTATTGAATTAATGGCTTTTGTAATGACTGCAGTTAACACGGGACCAAATTCAACATGCGATAGTGAAAGAAGGTGCGTTTGGTTGCTGTGAGGGGGAAAAGTCCGACCTGTGCCGAGCAGCAGCAAGACCTTCATGCACAAATACTCCTCATGGGAAACCTGCAGCCGGACAAACTCGTTGGAAATCTTCAACATCTGCTCACACTGGTCGGCCATATAGGGCAGCTTCATCCGCTCCCTGGTGGAATTGAGGCAGTAAACAGTTAAATACAGTCATGGCCAAAAATATTGGCACCCCTGCATTTCTGTCAGATAATGCACCACTTCTCCCAAAAAACTGTTGCAATCACAAATTCTCATGTTTATTTCTTTTGTTTGCATTGGCAGGCTGGGAAATACCACATCTGTCTTTGACTTGTTTGAGGCAAAAGTGAAAACTCCTTTTACCAGGCCAGGTTAAGAACTTTAAACACATTAGTGCAGTGCTGCTTTTGGCATCAAACCAATCAACAAGGGTTGGACTGAAAACAGATGGGTACATACTCATTGATGACGAGGTCTGGTGCAAAGCAAAGCATGGTGCCGTTGCACTGCTGGTACGATCTCCAGCCCAGACCAAAGGACATGAGGAAGAGCCAGGAGCATTGCAGCAAGGTCATCTGGTCATCCAGGTGGAGGTTCCTAAAACCTGAGGGGAAGGACATGGAAAGACTTCAGCTGACTACTAACACAGCCCAGTGTATGAGAGGGGGTGGTGTTAAAAATTAAAAACAAACCAGGCTGTAGTTGAGCTGAGTAACCCAATAATAATACTAACTTTTTTAAATCTTCACTAAAATGTGATGCTTTGTCACAAATAACATTCTATATTCATTTTGTAGAAGCGGAATCTGTTTGCCACAACTACATTTTACCCCATTTTTAAACTGATTTCAGTCATGTTTACCAAATGTGTCTGTGTGTCAACTTAGCCCCGTAGGGAGCAGAGCCAGAAGCAGTGTCTGTTTGCACAACAGAAAAGACAAATGTTTGGCAGTGTACCAATGCATTATAATGTCTCCTGCTTTTAGCTCACGTGTCAAATAGTCATGCTTCCAATGTGTTGTGCACTGTTAAAAATAAAACATTACTGTGCGTGCTAGCTGTGTTCTGGGTTGTGTGTGACACCACACAGCTCTTATAATCCCAAACACAGCACATTTTGTACATCGTTAACTTGTCTTTGTGACGGTTTTAGTTTGTTTTCTCTGTGGGCTATCGGGTGCAACATTTACATACCAGAGTTTACTTGTATACAGATATATCTCAAAAAGAGAAGACCAATATGGCAAAAGTGTTAAATGTTAGACAAAACTGAAACATTTTTTAAAACTTCTGAAGCCTAGAGTCTTTCACCAACATAAACTACTTTAATCATGCTGCCTATAGCCTCAACACCAAGTTTATACTCCTACTGGCAGAGCACACTATTAACCTGGCAGAGCCTTGGCCCACTTGACAGCAGAGACGACCTGTCGGCCACCCAGCCTGTTGAGGGTGGTCATCAGACGGGTGGAGGTGTCGGGCAGGGTGCTGTCATAGCCGGCGTAGATGGTGTCCGGCTCAATGGCCTTCAGCAGAGACAGCATTGTGGGAATGAGTTGAGGCATGCCCTTGGGTACAAGGGAGCGAGCCGCAACTGGTGGAGGAGGAATCACTTCAGGTTGGTTGCTTGGCTGGCTGCCCTTTAAGCGGCTTAACTTCTTGGTTTTGCGTGCTGCAGAAGAGAAAACAGGCACAAACGTGCAGGGAAGAGTTTAGCAACACAAAGAGAATGGAAGGTGAAAACACAGAAGCAATAAAACCAACTCAAAGGCGTGCTATTTGGTGTCATCGGTGGAGTTAAAATGTACCTTCCAGGTTCATGCCTGCCATCAGACACTTGCGGAATCGACACGCTGGGCAGTTTTTCCTCCTGATCTTGTCTATAATGCAGTCGTTCCTCCCAGCACACAGGTAATTATGCTGCCCTGAAGCACACAAGATTAATGTTATTTACCTTCATAGTGGTGGCAAGCACTCCAGGGAAAAAAGCTAATTATCTCCATCACAGCCCTTTATTTGGTAATGATCATGGCTCCTACTTGAAATCAGAGTGACTCCACCATTTGAGTTCACTTGTGTGACATGATGAATACATCAGTGAGGAAATAATGACATCATATCGCTTTATACCTTCCACAGCTCTCTTGAAGAAGACCTTGCAGCTGCCACAGGTTAAGACGCCGTAGTGGCAGCCTGAGGCCTCGTCAGAGCACACCAGGCAGATTTTGAGAGTCTTGCTTTTTCCCTGTGCCGAGGATATAGAGATGCCCCCATCTGGTCTGGAGGCAGAGCTGGAGGGAAAGTGTGTGACACAACAGAGCGATGTCAGTGATATTCCATCTCTCTTAACCCTAAAACCAAATATTTTACAATGATGTAGCACTGACAATAATCTAGATTTATAGTGTCTGCTGAAAGTGACACTTTACTACATTTGTAATTTCACATAGCTTCAGACATTTTGGCTACTCAATAAATATCATGGCACATTATGTGCAGTATGTCTGCAGCATGTGCCATTTAAACGTCCGACCCCTGCATCTCAAAGGATCCTCAGTTTTTAGAATTAGGCTCTAGTTTGTGTTTACATCTGTGCACCAAAGGTTTGGCTACACATCTTCCCATCAGAGTCAGTGTGTTCATTATGATTGTTTGCTTCAACTTGGCCTTCATTCTCAACATCATGAGTGAAGAAAAGTGAAGATCTGTGATCACGTCTTAAATCCAGTGGGTGTCATAAAACGGCCCTTTTCTCTCTGATTCACCCACAAAAGTTTCCAGACCCAGTCAACAGTGGGTTAGAGGCGCACTTTTTCTAAACTACCACTAGAGGACGTCAGGCTATGCTACATCCATATACCATATGTCCACACCCCCTTTCTAACCCAGCAGCCACAGGAACAACACCCACACACTCAGACATGCACAACTGTCTGCCTGCCTGTCCATGTGTCCACGCATCTGCCTCCGCAATGAAAACAAACTGTTTGATGATAAGAGCTGCTTAATGTGAACCACGTTCATTCTCAGTTATACAACATGTGGGAAAGCAGGGGGCTAGGCCCCAGCAGTTACTGGGTGTAGCAGGATAGGAAAACCTGACTGAATCAGGCAGAGGCCTCAGAGGAGGCGATACAGCCACAACACAGCTGAAAGCTTTCTGAGCACCACTGACAACACACTGTGGTCGATAGGTCTGCCAACTTACCTCTTATGGTCTGCATTCAACAAAACTGTGTGAGATTTCATTTCCTGGGTGTCTCTGGCTCTGCGTACTATGCATTGTTTCATACAGTTGAAATTCAAAACCCCAAATCTTGCAGTTTGTTTTGCAAAGTGTGGACACTGCAAAGCAAGGAAACGCACTGAACACCTGCCACCTGCTCTAGCTGTGAGAGGTGAAACCTGGGGCAGGTTAACTGAGAACACTCTGAAACTAAATCCATGCCAATCAAGCCAGCGTTTTCAAATAAATCCCACTGCCTGCTTTTTGTTTTCACACATTCTGCAGAGATGTTTTAGTTTTCCAGAAAGCAGGGTTTTAATGTTTAGTTTTGTAGATATGACCAAGATGTTTCATTAAGAACAAATCACACTCCACATTATGTGCACAATTTATCATTGTTTGAAGTGGACAACCTGAGCGGACAAACACTATCATAAATATTTATAGCAGCAATAAAGATCTTTGGAACTGGAAATTGGATTCATCATTCTGACTCAAAAAATGTCCAATCTATGCAGATACATTACTTGTACTAACAGAAACTGCATTCAATCTTTCATTTGTAGAAGTGGAAATCTAAAATTAACAATCACATATCCAAATCCAACAAGCTCAGCACAGGTGAACCACTGATCTTCCTTTTTTTTTAGCCGCACAGTCAGTGCTACAGTTTTGTTAGGTCCTCCAGAGTCATAAATAATGAAAATTTCATTAAGGGATTAAACTTGATTTTAAAAAAGCTGCAAAACGTTGTATGAGTAAATAACCAGTTTTCAAAAACATTTTAATGATACATTGCTACATAAAGTTGAATGATTTTTTATTTCTGTACACATTTAAACTCTTCATGTTTGTACTTGTACACACATTTCCCTCAAGAAAGAGATGAAATCTCAATGAGACTAAAGCTTTCACCAATCAGGCATTTGTATGTCAGGGTGGTGCAAGTGATACGATCAGTCACCAGCCTACTGGACTTAAAAGCTGCACTATGTCCAAATCGACCAAGTATCACGTGACTGTGTGTAATGTGAAAGGTCTTGTATGTAGTGATGAACCCACAGAGGATTCTCCTCCTAATCTACAGTTCCTTTCACCTCTATGGAGCATTTTATCAACTTTCTACCACTGTTACAACTTGCAACTTTGCTGTTTTGGTTTAGTCTCACCTCCATCAGCACCCTCCAAAATGTGAGAGGCAGCTGCTTTCAGCAAAAAAAAAAAAAACACAACAAAGCACAGGTAAACCAGCTGGACGCTACATGCATAATACCAAATTGCAGAAAGGCAAAGTGGATAATATGTCAATATTGTGATCACGCCTCATTCCGCTGCTGCCAAAACAGACAAGTAATGCCGTTTTATGATCAGTTATAAGAGCACTACTTATTGATCACTGTTTATTGATCACTTTAGGGTGAAACATTCTTTCAGGATGGGGAATAATTCAAAATATGTTGTCTACATATTATCTTGACATGCAATTGTGTTATGACAAACTTATATTAAGATGTTATGGCTCAAAGCATGTATTTATTTTGTACAAATTAGCATTTTCATTATTATTTATATTATCTACCATCCTCCACCCTCAGCTGGTGTTTGCATCACAGCCAACAGTGCTCCACTATCAGCAGCAGCAGCTTGTTTGAAGGGTCACACTGTAAATATATGTAAAAGCTGTGTATGCTGCAATAATGTAACCAGTCATCTGGCTCGCACAGATTTATGTGTGGTTTCCTTAACGCAATGCCACTGAGAGCACACACACACACAAAATCCCTTGAAGCTTCAACAAGTAGGCTTGGTGACCAACAATGTAGGCAGAGGAGGCCAATGAGTCCAGAGCAGTAAGGATGATGATATCAGATGATGTTTGTCCTTCACTGGCCCACTGGCATTGTGTCAGGACAGCCTTACTAGAATGCTTTAGGCTGCTGGTTCAAATCCATTTACTGGAGCTGCTATATGTTTCCAAGAACAAAGTAAGCTTGAAGTGACACCACTGCTTTCTCAAAATTCAGTTTGGAATCTGCTGACAACAACTTGAGCGATGCCATAACACGACACGCTACAAAACTGTTCTTGTCAACACCAACCAGTCAAAGCTGCACAGCCATGTGGTGACACTGAATTTCCTCTTTGTAAAAGCATCTGTTGAAATGCCTGTTGGCCATCGACAGGAAGTTCTTGCATTCCCTCAGAGTTCACTTCTGGTCAGTGATGGTATCAGTATGACAATGGTTAAATGGGCAATTCAGGGGATATGCAAACCATTAACCCATATTTTTAACATGTGGTTTCGACTTGGGCAGTTCCCCAATAATATGAAAATAGCAAAGGTCATTTTACTGTATGAATCTGGGGATAAGCACAACTTCACAAATTATAGACCGGTTTCTCTGTTGTCACAATTTTCAAAAATCTTGGAAAAACTCTTTAATAACAGATTAGACACATTTATTGATA